AAAGTATCTTTGCTCACCAAAAGGCGCTTGACTGCATTTACTTGCTTTGAGTGATAGCTTGTTAATCTGAAAGTTCCTATCAAGCCAAGTGGTGGTGGCACATGCCTTTAGTCCCAATACTCGGGAGGCAGAGGCAGGTGGATCTCTGTGAGATTGAGGCCAGCCTGGTCTACAGAGTGAGTTCCAGGACAGACTCCAAAGCTATAGAGAAACCCTGTCTTGAAAAACCAACCTAACTAACTAACTAACTAACAAAAAATATTGTTCTAAAAGCTTGGAGTAGTCCTTAGCATGCCAATAGGAAGTACTGCAGTGTCCACCCAGAAAACCATGTTAACTTATCTGGAGTCAGAGAGAGATTTGGGCTCTGTCTGCCTGAGAAGTTTCAGGTTTTCCTTTTTGCATTGTCTAAAGTCAAGCAATGCACCTTGAGGTCTCACTGACCCATGATGACAGTAACACCTCTGCTTATTTCTCTTTTTTCCAAAACAGGGTTTCTCTGCATAGCCCTGGCTGTCCCAGAACTCTCTCTGGAGACCAGGATGACTTCAAACTGGGCCCTCTGAGTGCTGGGATTAAAGGCATGCGTCACACCACCTGGTTTCTGGTTATATCTTTGTTGTTGTTGTTGTTTGTTATTTGTTTTTTGAGGCAGGGTTTCTCTGTTTATCCCTGGATATCCTGGAACTTCTTGAACTCAGAGATCTGCCTACCTCCGCCTCCCAAGGGATTAAAGGCATACATCATCACCACCTGGCCATGTTATGTCTTAATGATAAAATCAACAGAACTCGAGCTTGCAATAGATTATCTCTATAGAATCTCTATTCTAAAACAATTCATTTAAGAGCTGGAGTGAGGCTCAGCAGTTAAAAGGATCTGCGGTATTGAAGAGGACCCAGGTTTGGCTCCCATCACCCACATGGCAGCTTACAACCCTATCTAATTTCATCCTATAGGTCTGATGCCCTCCTATGACTTTTGTAGGCACTAGAATATATGTAGTGTGCATACAGACATAGAGACAAACCCCTGACATACATAAAACAGGTCTCTATATGAAAATCTCTATAGCATTGTCTTATGCATGGACCAGGTTGTAATTATTTCAAGTGTAAAAATTGTCCCAGAAGGTGAGAAATCAAGCTATTATTAGGACTTACTTGATAGTTTAAACCTCTTTTTGAAAGCTGTCTAAAACGACAATAAAAATGTCACGCTGGTTGGGAGGTGATGGCACTGCCTTTAATCCCAGCACTTGAGAGGCAGAGGCAGGCGGATCTCAGTGAGTTCCAGGACAGTCAGGATTGTTACACAGAGAAACCCTGTCTCAAAAGGAAAAAAAAAAAAGCCACAATGACTGAAAAATCATCTTAATATTGAATCGGAAAATTGCAGCTTTCTTCTTGTTACCAACAAAGAGATGCGTGTGTGTGTGTGTTTGCCTGTGCTGCTGGGGATCAAATACAGGGTCTTGTGCATGTTATACCAATACCCCTCCACCAGTAAGCTATGCCTTCAGCTCAGCTCTTGCCTTTAGAAGTAAATCCTAATCTGGAGGGTGAGTAAAAAACAAGAAAAAGTTATCCAAACTAATTTTGTTTGAAACCCAATCTAGCTATTGCTGTGGAATAATCCTTCTGTACACTGTGAAGGTGTTGCTCTCATTATTATTAAAGAGCTGACTGGCCAATAGCTAGGCAGAATTTTTGGGACAGAGAGAATGTTGGGAAGAAGGGTAGAGTCAGGGAATCCAGAGAAGGAGGAGATGAACTTGCCATGCTGAGATAAGGTACTGAACCACATGGTAGGATATAGATAGAAATATGGTTAATTAAAGTTGTAAGAGCTAGTTAGTAATAACCTTAAGCTATTGGCCGAGCATTTTTTTTTTTTTTTGGTTTTTCGAGACAGGGTTTCTCTGTGGCTTTGGAGCCTGTCCTGGAACTAGCTCTGTAGACCAGGCTGGCCTCGAACTCCCAGAGATCCGCCTGCCTCTGCCTCCCGAGTGCTGGGATTAAAGGCGTGCGCCACCATAGCCCGGCTTGGCCAAGCATTTATAATTAATAATATGTCTCCATGTTATTTGGGAGCAGCTGCTAGGACACAGAAATCCGCCTGTTAGCTATTCATTTCACAGAAGATTACACTACCTTTAGAAGATACTTCAGAGAAACTTTGGTCAAGTTTAAAAAACACCTAATTATTAGCCAAAACTACTAATTTGCTAAACATTCATTGAGGATCTATAGTAACATTCATGGGACTAGAAATGACTCTATTTAAATTCCTTCTGCAAGTCTTGCTGGGAGACTTCATATAGGTAATTCTCCCATTCAGTGTTCTCATCTAAAAAACTAGGAGTAGGGGCCTGAAGAGATGGATCAGTGATGAAGTACGCTGGCTGCTCTTCCAGAAGATCCCAGTTTGACTCCAGTATCCACCTGATGGTTCACCATAAACATGGCGGCTCATTTGTAACTCCTGAATCTCAGTGGATTCAACAACCTCTTCTTATTTTTATGTGCATCTGTCATGCGTGTGATGCACACACATACATGCGGATAAAACACCCACACTGCTGCTAACTGCACAGCATGGGATTGACCGGACCAGGGCAACATGGAATGTAGAACCGGCTGACCTACAGACAGAGACAGAGAAAAATCTGGGTTTGAGGGGGCGGTGTGCTTGGATGGAGGTGAGCCAGCAGCTAGAAACTCAGTGTGTTAATTATATACAGCTGAAGGAGAAGGCAGGTTACCCAGTCTCGGTAGGGAAGCAGGTTCAGACTGTAGTCACCACCCCCAGGAGGGAGCTGTGCTTGGTATTTCTTAAACATCCTGTCAACATCTGTGCTCCGACCTAGGTAAAACCTAGCAATTCCCTTGGATCTGTGGCACTGGGATCTGTGACATGGCTGTTGCTTATGTCAACTATACACATTCACTCAGGAGGAGGAAAGGGAGACCACGTGTTCCTCTTTTGGGGGGGATCACTTAAGTACCCTGGGGAGTGGTCCTAACTCAGGGAGGGGTCAGGACCTGGCCTGCTGGGATTTGAAGTCCAGACCAGGCCTGGGGGCTGAGATAGATGCCAGGGACTGGGGCTTCCGCTCCCAACCTACCAGACAGAAAGAACGGACTCCAGGTGTCTTCTAACTATGTACACACATCATCCATATATACAATAATAATAAGGAAAATTTTAATGTAAAGAAAAGCTACACAGAGAAATTGAGATTGCACAACGAACTAGGTTATACCACAGGCAAGCACAAATTTTCCAACAAGGGGGTTAAGAATGTTGGCATAAAAACCAGAGCTCTTCAGATAGCTCTGGGAATCACTTTAGAGACTCACTAAGCAAAGGAGCACAAGAATAAATACTCCAGAATATTTGGAGATGAAGTCATGTGGTTCATAGTAGCCATTTTACTCAGAGGAACTCTGGCTCCCTGGCCAGGAGGAAAGTGTGAGTTCAGTCAGGATATCATTTCACTGCCCCTACCATTCCTACCAACCTATGTATATTTGCAATTCAGTGTTCCGCAACGTTTCAAAGGCATGTCCACTCTTCCTCTCCTTTGGAATCCATCCCAGTAAAGGGCACAGCAGAGGATTCTGGGAAACCACTCCTCCCTCCTTTTCAACTTTGCAAATCTGCAACAACTCTTTCTGACTCATCTCTTTCCCCCCATTTCTTCTCTGCCACACTCTCTCAGAGCAAGCATTCCCACTGCTCTGCCTGGGTTGTTTCTGTACTTGTCTGTCCCTTGACTTCCACTTGTGGCCCAGTTTCAGTCTATTTGTGACCCCACCAGCCCTAGAGAGCTCCCCAAACAGAAACCGTGTGTTGTGGCGTTGTTCTATTTAATTTTCGTGAATCCGCACCATCCAGAGGATAGTCTCACGTTCCAAGCTGTCCAGCTCACTTATGTTCAGCCTCTGCCTCTTCTCACGTTTCACCTTTCACCACTCCTAATTTCAGTTTAGTTCGAGTTTTGCCAGTACCTCCCTTGGCCTTGAGACTGATGCTTCCTTCCTGGAAGTGGTTTCCTTTGCCTATCTGAAATGAACTTGCATAGAAATTAATAGTCGGCTACAGTCAGCTCAGGCTGCTGTTTTTCTCTGGCGCCCTATTTTTACCTCCCTTTGATCCCTATATAGCACTGGGTGAAAGGTCTTTGTTTGTCTTGACAGTGTTTGCTCACACGTCTGTATCCCTTGCTACGTCCCCCCCTTAGGGTAGCAGGAACACTGTCCTATTCAGGTTTGGTTATTCAACAAGTATTTGACGACCTAATATACAGTGGATATTTTATGTGTAAGGACAAAGTGGTCAACAAAGCAAAGAGGGACAGTTCCCTGTCATTAATTGGATAGCAGCATGTGAAATACATAGATAAATGAGTATAAAATGAGTCAGGTATGGTGGTTTATACCTTTAATCTCGGTGCTTGAGAGGCAGAAGCAGGCAGATCTCTGAGTCCTAGGCCAGCCTGGTCTTGGACAGTAGCCAAGGATAGGTAGAGCTAGCCCGTGTCAATAAAGCAAAACAAAAACAAAGCTATGAAGAGAACAAATAAATCATAGTATGAAAGTGAATAGAGAATAGAAAACTCGACTGAAGAGACGTGTAAACTGACAAGGGAACGCCCAGCTCGAGGGTCGTAACGCATAGGAGAATAGAGAGGCTAGGAACAGAGAAGCCAGGGGTGAGATGACATAAACTTTGCTGCGGAGGAAGAGTTTTGATTTGTGCTTCAAGCGTGGAGAGGGGCCTTGTCTGGTTTACAGCTTTGCGAAGGTGGCTCCGAGGCTACGTGGCAGAGGCCTGAAGGGAAACTGAAACCCGAAGCCGCAGAAGCTCGGAATGGGCGGCGGCCGCAGTTAGAGGGAACCGGACGGGAACAGGGGATTTACGCAGTTAAGAGGGCTGTTCCGAGGAGCAGCGCCCGGAGCCGACCGACAGCCCAAAGTCCCAGCCCAGCGCTCCGCGGGCGGGGCCGGAAGAGGAAGTCGGGGCTGCAGCCCAGAGGTCCGGGTACCGCCAGCGCCGCCAGCGCCCAGCTGCCCGCCCGCGGGATGGGGCTGCTGCTGCACTTGCGGCACGCTCCCGCGGCCGCTCTGCTCTGGAGCTGCCTGCTGGGACTGGTGAGAGCCGCACTCCCCTCCCCTCCCCTCCCCTCCCCTCCCCTCCCCTCCCCTCCCCTCCCCTCCCCTCCCCTCCCCTCCCCTCCCCTCCCCTCCCCTCCCCTCCCCTCCCCTCCCCTCCCCTCCCCTCCGCTCTTCCCTCCCCTTCCTCCCTTTCCCTTCTCCTCCCTCCTCCCCTGCCCCTCCCCCTCTCCTCCCCCCCCCCCTTTCCGGCCCTTTTACAGTGCTCACCCGCGGGTTCTAGCATTCTCACCTGGCAGTGCCTAGAACCCTGCGAAATACTTACCCGGGAGTAATCCCGTGGGGTGGAGGGCTTCTTTCACCTAGGTCCTGAAGCGCTGTGTATAGTTTTTTGGCGTTCAGGCACATTTTCTTTTTAATTAAAAAATTTAACTTCTGTTTTATTGTGTAACCCTTCTTACTGCAGCTTTTTGCCCAGGAAAAAAAAGGGGGGGGGGAGGGCAGGATGGACTGGGTTCCAGTTGTTAGCGTTCTGGAGTGCTCTTTAGTTAACTGTGTTCACATGTATTTCTATCTATAACTATATGAATATCTGCATGCTTTCATTCCATTCCCATACAGTTCTTTCTCTGTAAAGTGCGTGTCATTATACTGTGGGGATTTGTTTTGTGCTTTTGTTTTCTTACAGGCACACTTTAAAATCCCCTTAAAAACCAAGTATGAAAGTGGCCCTTGGAGGTTTTTAGTTTGAAGTCTAAAGGGATAGAAGTCTGGTTAAGAAAAAAATATGTGCATGCATACCCATAGTTGCAGAAGTAATATTTTAAAATTTAGCAACAAGAAATTTGAGTTCTAATGGGTGACCCAGAAGCTAGCTTTCAGGAAATCAGACTTTGTTTCCATTTGCTTTCTCTTCTAGAGCTTCAGGTTAGGAATATTTATCAGTGTTGTTTGGGCAGTTGTGTAAACGGTGTGCACAGTCATTACCCCGAGGAACTTTAACTTCTCTGAAAGACTGTGTTTTATAACTCTGGGCTTTAAAGGGTCAGCGAGAAAATCTAAGCTCAAAACTGTTATTAAACAAAAAAAAAAGTAGCCTTTTGTGTTCTGGGAACTTTGCTGGACATCATTAGGATCATACAGGAAAGAAATCATACAAAAAGTATTTTGAGGGGAGAAACAGCAACACAGAAGCATTACTCTGTGTCTTTAAGGTCTGAATAATCAGACAAGTGACATTTAGTTCCCAAAGAACAACTCAGAGGGGACATAAATGCCCTGAACTTATAATTTATGTGTTAAACTTAGCACTCATTTCATTGAACCTCTTAAGATTATTAAGAAAAAAATGTTTACATACTTATAGTTCCACTAATTCGTCCTCAAGATAAATTAATATTTAGCACAGAAATACATCAACTCTTGATAAACCACATTGTTGGGCAGTGGTGGCACATGCCTGGCCCAACACTCTAGGTCAGAAGCAGGCTGGTCTCTGTGAGTTTGAGGCCACCCGGGTCTGCACAGTAAGTTCTAGGACTGCCAAGGCTATACAGAGGAACCCTGTCTTGAAAAAACAAAACAAAGAAAAAGAATCGACAAACCCACACTGTGGTTATTAGACAAGAACTTGGAAGATCTAATGGCATGGATACATGGAGTAATGGGTGACATGTTCAGCAAACTGTAAATACGCTCTTGTGTGAAGTACTAGGCCTTTTTTTTTTTTTTAAATAAGGTCTTGTGTAGCCTAGGCTTGCTTTGAGCTACCTAAGAATGACCCTGAACTTCTGATTGTCCTGAGTGCAGGGATTATAGGCATGTACCACCAAGTTCAAACCCAAGGCTTCATATGATGGTAGCCAAGTGCTCTACAAACTGTGCTTCACCTAGCCTTCTGAGGAATACGGTATTTCTTTATTAATGGTTGGGGGTGGATGGGTGATATGTTTCCGTGGTCACAACTTTAAGCATGTCCCTTTTCTGGACAAATTGCAAATTTTGTAGTGGTTTTGTTCCTGATTCTCATCATAAGTCTTAACTAAAAGCATCTAATAATACCTGTGTGATAGAGTTTGAAAGCTTTGTTACCTGGACATGACCTCTTTTGGGTTAGTCCTTTAAACTCAGCTTCCCAGAGAGTCAGAGGATGGACAAATGCCAGAATGGACGATGCATTGTTTTTAGCCTATTCCAGATAGAGTCACCATCCCATCTGTTCACGAGCCTGCCTTTGTCTGCATTGTTCTCAGCATTCTGCTCTTCTGCTCTCTGCCCAGAATGGCCTCGTTAAGCTCTTTTGACAGCATCGTAGGCTTTCTCTAATTTGCTCCTCCAAACCTCCAGACTTCTTATGCATACTAATTTCAATGGCTTATGAGCTGTATTATTAGCTATAGTCATAAGCAACAATCTTCCTTCGTGGTACCAGCTTTCTGTCCCTTGACAAAATGCCTGAGAAATCACCTTAAAAAGAAGAATGAAGCCGGGCAGTGGTGGCACCTGCCTTTATTCCCAGTACTTGGGAGGCAGAGGCAGGTGGAACTCTATGAGTTCAAGGCCAGCCTCGTCTACAGAGCTAATTCCAGGACAAACAAGGTTACACAAAGAAACCCTGTCTCCAAAAGAAAACTAAACAAACAAACATAAAAGGGGTGGGAGAAGGAGGAGGAGGAGGAAAGCCAGGCAGTGGTGGCCCATGAGAGGCAGAGGCAGACAGATTTCTCTACATTCCAGGCTAGGCTAGTCTACACAGAGAATTCCAGGACAGCCACGGCTATACAGAGAAATCCTGTATTAAGAAACCAACTGGATGTGTGCTTTGCTACAAAGGCTTGTATGTTTTGTTTATTTTGGGTACGCTTTTGTGTATCTGAATACACATGCATTCCTGTGCCCCAACCCATGGTAGAAGTCAAGCATTTACTTGGCACCATGTGGGGCTCAGGTCATTAGACTTGGCTGCTAATGTTTCACCTGCTGACCCATTCCCTGGACCTCTTCTTCCTTTGGATTTGGAGACTAACTTGCTCACAGATAAGATGGGAAGAACCTCTGTTGAAGGAGGTGGGTGACAGAAGCAGTATACTAAACATTTGGGGATGTCTCTGCATGTCTCCCGCCCCTCACTTTTTCTTTATTATCCTTTTCCATCACTTTGTCCCTTTTCCCTATCTTTCTAGGCAATGGGAAATAAGACAAGATGAAGTATTCTAGCTATTTTTTAAAAGTTATTTATTTATTTGGGGGTGGGTGTGCCAGGGCATATGTGTCATGCTCAAGGACCAACTCATGGGACTCATTTCTCTCCCCCCGCCCCTTCGTGGGTCCTGGGATCCAACTCAGACGGTCATCTTTGGTGATAAGTGCAGTTACCCACTGAGCTATCTTGCCAGCTCTTCTAGCTCTCTTTTATGTTGTTTATTTATTTAGTTTTGATTGTTTGTTTTGAGACAGCATCTTTGTATGTAGGTCTGGCCTCCCTAGCACTCACTGTGTAGACCAGGCTGCTCTGGAACTCAGAAAAATCTGCCTGCCTCTGCCTCACATGGGCCACCGCTGCCAGCTTCCCTTCTTCGTCTTCCTCCTCCTCCTTTTTTGTTTTGTTTTGTTTTTTTGAGACAGGGTTTCTTTGTGTAGCCTTAGCTGTCCTGGAACTAGCTCTGTAGACCAGGGTGTCTTTGAACTCACAGAGATCCACTTGCCTCTGCCTCCTGAGTGTTGGGATTAAAGGCATCCGCCACCATCACCCGGCAGGCAGTTTTTCTCTTAAAACTCCGTATTGGTGTATCTGGATAGGCAGTTGAAAGCTCTCAAAGACTAGAGTGAAAATGATTTTAAATTCAAGGTGATTATCTTATACAGTCAATACTTAAAAGTACTCCTGCATCTCTTTAACCCCAGGGAAAGGTACTAGGCAAACACCAAGGGTGGGACAAGCTAAGAGGTTTTGAGTCCATTCTTCTGCGTGAGTGTGAACTATGAAGTCACAACTCATAAAAGAGTGGTGAAGAAAGTGCCAGGCTGAGAGGGCAGGCTGGCATTGTTATGTCATAGCACCCCCCATGTGGCTCTTAAAACATAGTTTTAGGGTCATAGTTAATCTTGTAAGAAAGTGAGCCATCGTCCTCAAAGAGTGAGCTCCGGACAAGTGTGTATGGTTTCATTATTCCCGAGCTGCTTATGCAGGAGTAAATAAAGTCATCACAAGTCTCACCCTCGTGAGGAAATGTGCTCAGACATGCTTATAAATAGTCTCATCGAAATCTGTTACTGCCAGCAAGCCTAACTATGACCACCATCCTGAAAGTTGTTGTTTGTATCTTAGACAGCTGCTCAGGAAGCCATCCTGCACGCGGCCGCAGATGGCTCATCTTCACTTTCCAAGGACTATTGCATGCATTATAACCCCAAATGGACAAGGCTTCCAAGTTCCCTAGAAAATGCAGTAAGTAAATAACGTGATATTATTCATAATAAAATATTGATTATGAGTAATAACTATTTTAGCGTGTGACTCAGTGAGATTGTACTAAACTGGCCTCGGTGTTTCATCACTGAATGCTCTTGGGTGAAATGAGGTATCTGTCTTATTAAAAACATTTCTTCTTTTCAGACTTCTCTTAGCTTGATGAATCTGACTGGCACGCCACTGTGCCACCCTTCTGATATTCCTCCTGATGGCATAAAGAACAAAGCAGTGGTGGTACAGTGGGGATCCTGCCACATCCTTGAAAAAGCCCAAATTGCCCAGAGAGGTGGTGCTGAAGCATTGCTGATCGCTAACAGCAGTATTCTGGTAAGCGCTAAATGGAGGAATTTCTTTTTTATATACATTTTTTAAAAATATTTATTTCTGTATTTATTATGTATACAATATTCTGTCTGTGTGTATCCCTGCAGGCCAGAAGAGGGCACCACACCCCATTACAGATGGTTGTGAGCCACCATGTGGTTGCTGGGAATTGAACTCAGGACCTTTGGAAGAGCAGGCAATGCTCTTAACCACTGAGCCATCTCTCCAGCCCTTTATATACATTTTTTTTATTGATATTTATTGAGCTCTACATTTTTCTCTGCTCCCCTCCCTGCCTCTTCCCCCTCCAGACCTCTCCCAAGGTTCCCATGTTCCCAATTTACTCAGGAGATCTTGTTTTTTTCTACTTTCTACTTCCCATGTAGATTATATCTATGTAAGTCTCTCTTAGTGTCCTCATTGTTGTCTAAGTTCTCTGGGATTGTGGTTGGTAGGCTGGCTTTCTTTGTTTTGTGTTTAAAAACCACCTATGAGTGAGTACATGTGATAATTGTCTTTCTGTGTCTGGGTTACCTCACTCAAAATAATGTTTTCTAGCTCCATCCATTTTCCTGCAAAATACAAGCTGTTTTTATTTTTTTCTGCTGTGTAGTACTCTATTGTGTAAATGTACCACATTTTCCTTATCCATTCTTCGGTTGAGGGGCATTTAGGTTGTTTCCAGGTTCTGGCTATGACAAACAAAGCTGCTATGAACATAGTTGAGCACATGTCCTTGTTGCACAATTGAGCATCCTTTGGATATATACCAAAAGTGGTATTACTGTGCCTTGAGGAAGGTTGTTTAAAAGGAGGAATTTCTATTGTGCCTCTAACACCAAGTCTCCCAGGAACTGAGTTAATGCTGTGTGTGTTCCAGAGGCTGAATTTTTAATCATCTTCTAGATTATTTTTATTAACAAACGTTCTAGATTTATTAATAAAACATTCGAATTAGAAAATCTTGTAGTTTTGGCTGTATTTTTAGAGTTGAGATGACTTGAAGTCTTAAGAGTTGAGAAACATATAAATATATATATATATATGTATATTGTATGTTTATACAATGTCTATACCATATGATGTCATGTATAGTATATATCTATTTAAGTTCATGTTAAAAAGATCTTGTTTTTAGAACTTATATATTATTAAGAAGGAATAATGAAGCTTTGTTTTTATAATTTAATATAATATTGGTACTTAGTATAAATATAGTATCTATATTCTTATTCTGTAAATGTATTAGTAGTTAATCAAGTTTCATATTTTTTCTTTTAGCTTCCTTCCTCAAGGAACAGTTCTGAATTTCAAAATATGACAATACTAATTGCAGTGATAAGCCAAAGAGACTTTAAAGATATGAAACAGGTACGTTGGTAATTGCATATTAGATGTTTATAAATGGTACAATTGTTTACATTTAATCACTATGCTTAATTTTGATTATTAGGCATTCTCCACTTGCTAGCGAGAGCCTTGAAGGGCTGAGTAAGCCTCTAGCTGTCCCGTCTTCCTAGCTCTCTGATGAAGTGTAGATGTTGCTGCTGTGCTGTGGCAGGCTCATCCCTGTGTTAACTGTCGCTTTGCCCTTCAGACTCTAGGAGATAACGTTACCGTGCAGATGTATTCTCCATCCTGGCCTAATTTTGACTATACTATGGTGGTTATTTTTGCAATCGCTGTGTTCACTGTGGCATTAGGAGGATACTGGAGTGGAGTCATTGAATTGTAAGTTTAATTAAACTCTTTATGACTTTCTGATAAATAGTTTTAAATAATGCTTCATGATCATCTTAATAGCAAGAACGTTTATGTTTTTATCTCAGTATATAGAGCCATTAAGACAGATTGTAGGATTGCCTTTTCTTTTTCTTTTTTTTTTTTAACTAATAGAAGGTTGTAGGCACCTGAGTTATTTGTTCATAGAGAAACACTTAACTCACATCAAATACTCTGTGGAGGCTGCTGAGGGACAGCAGTGGGTAAAGTGTTCACTGCACAAGTGTGAGGACTTGAGTTCAAAACCCTAGAACTCACAGCAAGCTGGACCCAGTTGTGTGTGTCTGGAAGCCAAGTGTTCCTGCAGCAAGATGGGAATCTGTGGAATCTTGAAGGCCAGTTAAACCTGTCTCAAACAGGGACGACGACGAGGTTCAAGGACTGACCTCTGGATGTCTTCCGATATCCACACATGTATTGTGGCAGGTGTGCACTTGCACAGGCACACACAGCAGCAAACACGCACATAGAGTGCAATCTCACAGCATGAGCTGGAGCATAGCTCAGTGGTGGAGCTTTTGCCTAGTTGTTTGAACCGCTGCTCTCCCAAAGGAATACAATTGCTGGTAGTATTTAATGTAGAAATCGAGTAGTTGGTTCCCTTCCAGGAAAGCGTTTTTATGAAAGCTGTGTATGGTGCCTATATATATCCATGCCTATAGTAATCACAGCACTTGAGAGGTGGAGGTCATCCTTGGCTACATATGCCCCTGCCCCAGTGTACCCCCCCAAAATGAAGTGCTTTATGTCAGGTATGGTGGTACACACCTGTAACCCTACTGCTCGGGAGTCTGAGTCAGGAGGATCATGAGTTTGAAAGTACCCTGGGTTACATATTAAGTTCAGTGCAGCTTGTGCTACATAGCAAGACTGTTGCAGAAGGGGGAGTGCCTTAGGCTCTTCAATATGTGGCTATGAATATTGAATATGTGGATCATTATGGCTTACATGTCTACTGCTATAAATGTTTTTATTTATTTTCAATGACAGATACCAAAGGCTGGCACCTTTCCCCACTTAGGTACCACATTGTTAAAACTTCTGTTAGTGCCCCTACATCCTGGTCTGGAGTTCTAGGGAAGGGTTGGTGCAGAGGCCACAAGTCCCACTCATGATCATGACGTCGTCTGTAATCTCCTGATGGGAAAGCAGTGTGCTGGTTAACAGTTGCAAATGTGAAAACGTTTAGACATAAAGTTTTATTCAGCTTAAAGTCTGCAGGGAGCCCAGACTTAATGGTCAGGGCCGGAAGATGCATGACAGGGAGCTGAACTGGGGCTGGGAACACTGGGTAGGCTCTGTGTCACCGGGAAGGCCCAGTGATGTGACAGGTGAGACAGTAAGCTGTCTACTCTCCAAAGCCACCTGCTGCTCTCTTTAACACCCATCTCTGCCTTTCATTAGAGAGGTGATTACTTGGGAGAACCCATGGGTAATAACAAAGGCAGGACAGGACTGGAGCTGGTAATTTAACAGTTATTCTTAGTGCATTAATGAGCACGGGACAGACATGTAGTAAATGCTGAGTTTGCTCATAGGAGAATTCAGTGTTTATACTTGAGAAAAACTTATTTAGAAAGACTTTACTGTATGTAGGTAGGTAATATTGTTTATATGTTTATATCTTAAAACACATTATGTCAACATAAATATCTCTCCAAACTTGGTTGTACGAACATCCACAAACATTAATTTATTAATATAATAAATGTAGTATGTTCTAACAGGTTTTTTTTATTAAAAAATCTTATTTCAAAGTTGTGTAATGACAGATTATATCTGGAGAGTAGGAATATAGGCTATTTTAGTTCCTAAATTAAATATTTCTTTTTGGTACTTTTTTTTAAAAAGTGCATTACTTTTGTAATTAAACTTAAAATTGGTGTTAGAGAGGGATTTTTACAAAAATAAGTGGTAAGGACTTGCTGATGTTTCTGTGTGTGTTTATGCAGGGAGAACATGAAGGCAGTGACAGATGCGGAAGATAAAGAGATGCGGAGAAAGAAGGAAGAGTATTTGACTTTCAGCCCCCTCACAGTTGTCCTGTTTGTGGTCATCTGCTGTGTGATGATCGTCCTGCTCTATTTCTTCTACAGGTGGCTTGGTAAGACACTGGGTCTTAGGACTCAGCCATGAAAGGCTAGGCTCACCAAAAATACAAGAAGCTGGGTTTTATGTATGCTGTATTTTTTTTTCCGAGACTGGGTTTCTCTGTGTAGCCCTAGCTGTCCTGGAACTCACTCTGTAGACCAGGCTGGCCTCAAACCCACAGAGATCCGCCTGCCTCTGCCTCTGCCTCTGGGATTAAAGGTGTGGGCCACTACCACTTGACTGTGTGTGCTGTTTTGGACATATATCTCCCCCCATTTACGTTGCTAGATTCAACTTTCCCTTTAAAACATTCATCTGAAAATTACATTAAATTAAAAAATTCATCTGAAAAACAAGTAAGTAATTTGCTTAATGTGCAAAAAATATCAGGTTTCAGTTACTGAGATATTTTAAAATTTAAATAAAAAAATAACCACACATACACCATACACATGCATATATATATATATATATATATATCTCCTCAAGAGGCTAAGGAAGGATGAGTGACATAGGCGTGGGGCTAGCCTGGGATACATAGTAATTTCTAGGCCAATATTGGCCATAGAATCATGCATAAGATCCTACCTCAAAATACTAAAAAATTGGGGGCTGGAGAGATGGTTCTGCTGTTAAGAGCATGAACTCTTGTGAAGGAATTAAGTTTGGTTCTAAGCACCATGTCAAGTAGCTCACAACCAGTTCTCACTGTAGCTCTAAGGGCTCCTTGGGCACTTGTCCATACTTGTACATACCCATACCCAGGCACACATATATATACATAATTAAAATAAAAATCACTTTAAAAGACGATATCTAGCTACCTTAAAGAATATTTTTATTTCTAGTGAAAAATTTTCTTGAATGTATTACATTTACCCTATTTACAGGTAAAATTTTTGATGTGAGAAGAAAATCATTCACCCTCCTAATTATCCCAGGACATAGTGCCACATTAAGATTGGCCCGTGTCGCCGGGCGGTGGTGGCGCACGCCTTTAATCCCAGCACTCAGGAGGCAGAGGCAGGCGATCTCTGTGAGTTCAAGGCCAGCCTGGTCGACAGAGTTAGTTCCAGGATAGGCTCCAAAGCTACAGAGAAACCCTGTCTCAAAAAATCAAATAAAGGGCTGGAGAGATGGCTCAGAGGTTAAGAGCACTGACTGCTCTTCTGGTGGTCCTGAGTTCGATTCCCAGCAACCACATGGTGGCTCACAACCATCTGTAATGAGATCTGGTGCCCTCTTCTGGCCTGAAGGCATACATGGAGGCTGAACACTGTGTACGTAATAAATAAACAAATCTTAAAAAAAAAAAAAAAAGAAGAATCTTTAAAAAAAAAAAAGAAAAATCAAATAAAAAAGAAGCGGGCGTACATCCTGAGTATGCTTTTCAGTAAACTTCTTACATTTAAAACAAAGCTAACTGGAACTGTGTTATGATGATAAAGCTCTTCCCGGGGGATCGTTTTCTAAGTGACAGTACCCTGTAGACAAAACAATAAAGCTCCCATAAGGCCTCAGGGAATATGCTACCTACCAGGCTCTTAAAACCTGGGTTGGGCAGCTTGGCAGAAGATATACCAAAACCCAATTGACAGTCCATGAAGGGTCTGCCTTCCTGTTCCTCATACACACGTGACCACACAGGACATGTGCAGTGCACATACTTTATGTACGTTCGCTTATCTCACCCTGACAACAACCCAGCGTACTTTGAATTGAACTTAGTGTGTTAGATATGAGCATCAGAGGACTCAGGGTGGCTTATCAGGCTTCACTCAGAACCAGGACTCCCCAAATTTACTGTGCTGAGACCAGTCTCTGTTTCTCACCCCCACCTCGGAGGTGGTCAAATAGACCATGAACATTGAGGTACAGCTTGTATTTCTATCACAATATTTTCTAGAAAATTTGGAAAAAGAATATTGTAAGGTATAATAATCCTACCTCCTTTGTAACAACACAGAGGTGAAATATCTTTAGATAATTTTCAGATACATCTGGGTAATAGAGACTGCTCGTCAGATTTTACTACCTAGGTGTTCTATTGCAACAAAGTTTCTTTGAATGGATTTGAGTGTTTGGGGGTATGTGTGTGTGTTTCCCTTGAGGCATCTTGCTGTGTAGTGCAGGCTAGACCAGTACTTTCTACACAGCCCAGGCTAATCTTCAACTGGTGGTTACTATGCCTGGCTGGATTTGATTTTAACACAGGTCAAGTTGTTATAGATAAATTCTCCATAGGAAAACATGGATAACATGACTGATATCTAAGGCAGATATTTGTTCTCATTCCTAAATCACATTCCTAAAATATTATATTAATAATTTATTAATTCAGAGCCAGGCCCAGTGGCACACGCCTTTAATCCCAGCACTAGGGAGGCACAGGCAGGCAGATCTCTACAAATTCAATCCTGTATATTTGTTTTTTTGTTTTTTTTTTGTTTTTTTTTTTTTTTTGGTTTTTTTCAAGACAGAGTTTCTCTGTGGTTTTGGAGCCTGTCCTGGAACTAGCTCTTGTAGACCAGGCTGGTCTCGAACTCACAGAGATCCGCCTGCCTCTGCCTCCCGAGTGCTGGGATTAAAGGTGTGCGCCACCACCGCCCGGCAAGCCTGTATATTTGTGTATAGCAAGTTTCAGGCTAGACAGTGTTCCCAAAAAGAATGTATTTCTTAATCCAGTTTGGGATATCACTGTAGAGTTATATATGCAAAGACCTGGGTTCAGTCCCAGGTGTCATTAGGCTGGGTATGATGGTGTACACCTGTAACCTCAACACGTAAAAGGTAGAGACAGGAGGATCAGGATTTCAAGGTTTTCTTTTCTTTTCTTTCTTTTTTTTTTTTTTTTTTTGGCGGGAGATGGGGAGAGAGTTTCAAGACGGGGTTTCTCTGTAGCTTTGGAGCACGACCTGGAACTAGCTCTTATAGACCAGGCTGACCTTGAACTCACAGAGAAGCCTCTGCCTTCCTAATCCTTCTGGTATTAAAGTGTGGGCCACCACCACAGATTCAGATATTCAAGGTTTTCAAGGTCATTTTTGTCTAAATAGCAAGTTCAAGGCCAGTTTGAACTACTTGAGACTCAAAACAAAAAGGTCTGGAGGAATAATAAGTAAAGTGCTTACTGTGCAAATGAGACCAGAGTTTGATCCGTGTAGGAAAACCCTCCTTGGAGGCATAGAGGTGGAATTCAAGCACTGGGTGGATAGAAGCAGGTTGGTCCCTGGAGCTTGCTGGCCAGTCAGAGTAGTTTACTTGGCAAACTTCCAGGCCAGTGACTCAGCCTGTTTCAAAAATAAAACAAACAGAAGAAAAACAGACATCAGAGGAATAGAACTGTGGTTGTTTTCTGGCCTCTACCCATATCCAAATATATGTATGCACCTACATACGTACAAATACAAACACATATATATGCACAAAAGTTCATCATCCTTCTGTTTTTATCTTTAAGTACTTATAAATATCTGTAATTCACTTCACAGAAACCTGTAATAAACATGTCAGTTTGAATTATTGAAAATTAGAAAATGTAGAACCATATTTAGCCAGTTAATACTTTCCTAGCAGTGTATAATACAACTAAAATCACATGTTAATGTGGCCCACTTTAAAACTTTAAAACACTATAGATATTTTTAGTTTAGCAATACTATAGATAACATAGTACTATATCAAAAATATGGTATAGTGAAAGGCACTAAATGATTAATAACTGTCTCTTTCTTTTCTAGTTTATGTTATGATAGCAATTTTCTGCATAGCATCAGCAATGAGTCTGTACAACTGTCTTGCTGCATTGCTTCATAGGATGCCATGCGGACAGTGCACGTACGTATCTCTTGGAGATTGTTTTAATTAGTGTTTGAACTTAATACAGGGAAGGTGAGGTGCTGCTTTAAGGCTGTATATTCAGTATACACCAAATTTATGGCTATTTAAAGTCAATAATGTGTTTGGGATCTTTAAATGGAGTTCCTGAGACATATTGAAGTAGAGTGCCATCAATACTGGAAAACATAGAGAACATTTCCATTACCATAAAGGGTTTTTGTTAAACTGGTTATTATACCTCATTAGTTTTACGTAAAATTATGACATCTAGAGTAATATTTCAATCATTTCTTGTTAGTCTGTCATGTTTTGTATCAAGTGATCATTGTATTTTGTCTACAGCACAAATCAACTATTTTTATTTATTTTTAGGATTTCCTGTTGTGGCAAAAGCATTAAAGTAAGCCTGGTTTTCCTCTCTGGACTGTGCATCTCAGTCGCTGTTGTGTGGGCTGTGTTTAGAAATGAGGACAGGTACGATGACTCTACTTTATTGTGGGTTTAAGGGTTCCTGACTCTTATTCGTTATGGTTATTGTGGAATTTTTGTTTGTTTTTATTCCAGAACATATTTTAAAACAAAGCAGTTTTGTTTTGTTCTTTTGCTTTGTAGCCCTGGCTGTCCTAGAGCTCACTCTGTTGACCAGGCTGGTTTCGAACTCAGGGATCTCTCTGCCTCTGCCTCTGCCTCTGCCTCTGCCTCCCAAATTTTGGGATTAAAGGCGTGTGCCAATACCACCTGCCCGTTTTCTGCAGCCGTTAAGTCCCAAAGAATCACACAGAGGTCTACATTAGTTATAAATTGATTGGCCTATTAGCTCAGGCTTCTTATTAACTCTTATAGCCCATTGTTTTTGTCTATGTTAGCCACATGGCTCAGTACCTTATTCATCGAGGCAGTCACATCTTGCTTCCTCTGTGTCTGGGTCATGACTGCAGAATCAAATTTCCCTCTTCTCAGAATTCTCATTGCCCCGCCTCTACTTTCTGCCTGGCTACTAATCAGCGTTTTATTATTTGTGGCTCTCCCTTTGGGGGTCATTTTCTTTCAAAACACCACAACAACCCAGACAATTCCTCTTTGAGATTCTCTTCCCAAATGATTCTGATGTCAAATTGATAAAAACTAACCATGATAAAAGCAAAATGTAAAAGAATATATAGAATATTTTGCCTTTCATAGTAGAAAGAAGGGGCAATGTGAAGTATCTGTCCATTTACTGGGAGCAACAGGTGTGAGTGTCTCTCTATAAAAAAAAATCATTACATACATTTAGCGTGTGTGTGTGTGTGTATGTGCGTGCGCATGTGTGTCTCTCACCTGTGTGTACATGCCACAGCATAAGTATGGCAATCAGAGGACAACTTGGGTCACTTCTCTCCTTCTACCCTGTGGGTCTCAAGAGTCTCAGGTCATCAGGCTTGATAACAGGTACCCTTACCTGCCCAGCCATCTTGCCAACCCAGTGTCAATCCATGGCAGGAAGGAAAACCTGAGGAAATTATATAACATATGTTCAATGGCTTATTAATAAAACTATTGATGACCTGGAAATCTTTTTATAATTATCAAAGTTATTAATTTTATCACTGGTTGTTAGTTATGCATATTAATTTCAACAAGTAAATTGTGTAGCTTTCGCTTTGTGCTCAGCTGGTCTGAATATAAACATGGGGATTTTGTTGGCAGCTATCTTTGTAGGAGACACGCAAAGCTGCAGAGATTAAGGTGAATATGTACTCGCATCTGACGCACATTCTTCTGAGGTAGCCTTGAGTCATTATTCTGCCAGGACAGTAACTTGCTAAACAGGGAGGCTGTGAGGAGATAGTTCATAGCCATTGAATGCCATAACCACAATGATCTGTTTATGTAACGTTCATCTAAAAGTAATGGAATGGAACAATAGGTGAATCTCTCTCTTTCTCTCTCTCTTTTATTATAGATGGGCTTGGATTTTACAGGATATCTTAGGAATTGCTTTCTGTCTCAACTTAATTAAAACAATGAAGTTACCCAATTTCAAGGTAAAATATATTACTTTTATAGCTGTAATAATAATGTTTTTAAAAACAATATGATTGAGGTGTAATTTGCATATTTAGCATAATCACATAATTAGCATGCTCATTTTAATTGCGCTGTTGAAATGTTGTATGGGTATGTATAACTTCCATCCAAATGAGCTACAGACCATTCCCCGTCTTCAGAGAGTCCATCCTGCCTGTCTGTGCTCACGTCTAACCCTAAAACAAGGACAGCTACTAAGCTGCTAGCTGGGTGTTTTTCATCACTCATACTCTTAATAAAACTTCATAAGACTAAATATTGGGGAAGAACTTTCTTTAATTCAATGATGTTTTTAAGCAAATGGGTCACAGGAAGTAAAGATTTTTAAATGATGTTTTATTAAATAAAATATGCCTAGCAATAACAATAAAATGCCCTTTAAAATAGTGTTCAAATATATATTCTCATGCTTACTTGTTTCTGCAAAGTAATTTTTTTTTTTTTGATTTTTCGAGACAGGGTTTCTCTGTAGCTTTTTGGTTCCTGTCCTGGAACTAGCTTTTGTAGACCAGGCTGGCCTCCAACTCACAGAGATCCGCCTGCCTCTGCCTCCCAAGTGCTGGGATTAAAGGCGTGCGCCACCAGCGCCTGGCTTCTGCAAAGTAATTTGATGTGATAGTTTAGATGTGGGAAGTTTGATCTTTTAATCCCTTTTTCTTGACAGTCCTGTGTGATACTGCTAGGCCTTCTCCTGGTCTACGATGTGTTCTTTGTCTTCATAACACCGTTCATCACAAAGGTAGGACCGCCTGTGCATTTTCAGTTCATGAGGAAACATCGCAAAAGATGAAATTCTTTAAAATCCATTTGTTTGCCTTGAGACAAGGTCTCTTCAGTATAGTCCTGGCCAGTAGAGAACTCTCTCTGTACAGCAGGCTGGCCTTGAACACTCTAGATCTGCCTGCCTCTAGATTAAAGGCATTTGTCACTGTAGCCCTCACTGCCACACATAGCTCCTCGCGTTTTTTGAGAGTTTACTTATTTTATGTGTCTTTGTGCCTCTATACATGTGCACCCCGTGCTTGCCCGGTGCTCATGGAGCTCAGCAGAGAGCATTTTTTCCCCAGAACTGTAATTCCAGGTTTTCGCAAGCCACCTGTGTGGGTGTAGGAACCCAGGTCCTCTGCAGGAGCAGTGGGTGCTCCCAACCTTGAGCCGTCTCGCCAGCCTCGAGAAGAGAGCTGTAACTCTTTTCAGACGTTGTTGGTGTTGCCGATTGTGTGCCTCATAGTGAATTTCAATTTAATTTAATTATTTAATTTAATTCAATTTAATTTAATTTAATTGCCTTTGAAATTGGTCTTTCAGTGGAGGGCATTTCAAGTTTTCAATTGCTTGTTAGAGAGAATAAAGAACTTCTAGTTGGTATAAAGTGAGAATATCTAATTTTTCTTTCCTTTTAAAAGTAAAATTTTTGTATCTCTATCTACTGTGGACAGTTTAGAGAGGAAGGGGGAGAGAGAGGGAAATGTGTCGTCGCTGCCTTCATTTCTGAGAACTAAAGGAACAGCACACCTACTCTGCCGTCCAGGAGTGAACTGTCTAACCTGGCTGGAAACCCATCCTGTGCCTTGCAGATGCCCCTGGTGCTTCCGGGTCCCAGCCTGCTGAGTGAGAAGCCATGCAGGCTTTCCACATTAGAGTTCTTTTGGCTTCAGTGACAGATCTTTTTTTGTTTGTTTTTTGTTATTTTGTTTTGACTTTTTGGGACAAGGGTTCTCTGAGTAGTCCTGGCTGTCCCAGAACTTGCTCTGTAGACTAGACTGGGCTTGAAATCAGAGATCTGTCTGCCTCTACGTCTTCAGTGCTGGGGTTAAAGACATGTACTGCTGCCTGGCCCAACTTGATCTTTCTGTTCCAGAAAGGTCGCCTGTCTCCAGACTGCTCATTGAGGCCAGGGTGAGGCTGACCTCAGTAGAAGTTCAACCCAGGGCCCCAATCTCACTTTGCATTCCTGTCCATTTTGTCTGTCCCCTGGTTCTATTGCCAGAAGCTCCTAGGTCATCATTCCCCCTTTACTCACCATCAGCTCCTTAACGTGAGGAAAGCTGTTGAGTGAGTTGACACTTTGCCTACCTTAACCTTCTTCCTATCATGAACATGTTATTAGTTAGTTAGTTCTCCTGCTTCTCCACCATTTTATTTTGTACCTTGCCATGTAACTTCCCATTGGGTTTGTTATTGTTAGTGCTATACTCAGGATAGAACCTAGGACCTGTGTGTTTCAGGCAAGCGCTCCACCACTAAACTACAGCTCTCTCCCCCTCCAATGGGCTTTAACCCTTTCTTTAGGCACTGTCAACTATGAAACCACTGCAAAAAATATTCACTTCTGACATTTACTGCCAGAATTTCACTTAGGAAATAAAAATGTATAACTATCCCAAAAGTATTCCTTCCCAGACTATTTTGCAAACAGTTCCCCATGCCTTAAGGTGAGCTGTTTCAAGTGTTACTGAGCATCAGGGCCAGAGAGAGAGAGACAGAGAGAGAGAGAGAGAGAGAGAGAGACAGAGAGAGAGAGAGAGAGAGAGAGAGAGAGAGAGAATTAACTTAGTAGTGTGAGTTGTATCTAAAACTAGGCACTTTAAAAAAGCATGTTTTCAAACCAGGTAAGACAGAACATGCTATAATTCTATATAATTCTAGTATTCAGGGAGCAGAAGCAGGAGGATTGCCACAGTTGCAAACCAGCCTAGTTTACAAATCAAGTTCCAGGACAGCCAGGGCTACTTCATGAGCTCCTGAGGCCAAAACAAAGCTGTTCAAGCTAGTCTTAATTTATTTGGTACAAACCAGTCTTATAGAGTACACTATCAGAGATCTTTCAATCAAAGTGAAACGTTGATTCTAGTGTACACCTTTGATCCCAGCACCCTGGAAGCAGAGGCAAGCAGATCTTTGTAGTAATATGAGCGGCGGGGCTGTGTCCCCAGCACCCCGGCCGCCTGCTAGCTTATGCCCGAAATAACAACACACAAACTGTATTCATTTAAACACTGCTTGGCCCATTTCTATCTAGCCTCTTCTAGGCTAATTCTCACATATTAATTTAGCCCATTTCTAATCATCTGTGTAGCGCCCCTAGGTGCGCTTACCGGGAAGATTCTAGCCTATGTCCATCCTGGGTCGGAGCTTCATCGCGTGTGCCTGGGAGAGCGGAGCATGGCGTCTATCTGAGGGGAGCTGTTGAGTCTGAGCTCACTTCCTCTTCCTCCCAGCAGTCTGTTCTGTTTACTCCTCACACCTATGTTTTAACCTATGAGGGCCAGCCAAGCAATTTGTTTATTACTTAACCAATGAAATCAACAGATTGATATATGACACTCCCACATCAAATCTTTATGAGTTTAAGGCAAGTCTGGTCTCCAGAGTGAGTTCCAGGACAGCCAAGGCTAAGTAGAAAAACCCTGTTTCAAAAAACAAACAAACAAACGAACAAGTGGTGGACCATCTTCACAAAGCATTTCTGTAGGTCCACAGTTAGTCTATAGCATGTACTGGAAGTGCAGCTATACACTGGGTTTGTATAACTGGGGTTTTAAAGTACTTTTTTTTTTCTTTATCTTAAACCTGGTATCCCTTCAATGTCAGATTAAAATTTAAAGGTTCAGGCTAAGGATAAAAGTCTTTTAGTCTTCTGTGTATGATTAGTGTTATAGTAAAAGTAAAACAGTGCCGTTCCCAAGTGGCAGGAATGACAGGCCATGAGGGCGTGCAGGTCCCAGGCAGGGAGCCACGTAGGTGAGAGACAGAGACCTATTAGGCATGCCATGCAGAGAAAGTAGGTATTTATTTAGTGGGTTATGGGGGGGGAAAGGGAAGGTGAGAAGGGTGAAGAGCAGAGATAGAGGCAGAGAGAGAGAGAGAGAGAGAGAGAGAGAAGAGGAGGGGAGGGGGAAGGGAGAGGAGAGAAGGAGAGAAGGAGAGGGAAAGAGAAATGGGTGAAGAAGGGAGAAGGGGAGAAGTGGGGAAAAGGAAAAGAAGCAGAAGCTACTTCTTGGGAGAGACAGAAAGGGAGGAGCTCAGGCTGGAAGTGGAAGGAAGATAGGAAGATCTGCTTGCCTAGGCAGAGGGGGGTGGGGGTGGGTTGGGCTTGTCTCTTAAAGGGACAGGGTAAACTGTTACAATTAGGACATTTTTTAAAAATCTTTTTTGTTTGTCATTGTAGGCCTGTAGTTTCTAGCAATCTGTTGTAGTAGAAACAGCTGGAGGTTCTCTTTGGAACTCATTTTTGTAAATGCTCATTTAATACCTTCTCAGTTGGACACCTATGTTCTCCTTACGATCATAAACTTTTTTTTTATTAGGTAACTAAAAATGTGTATCAGATGTTCATTCCTGATTTTTGTCTTTCACTCTTCTCCCTCGTCTGCTGATATGTTTTGTTTTGTATGAAACATAAAAGTAGATTCCTCCAGCTGAGTGCACTGGTGCATGCCTGTATCCCTGAGCTTGGGAGGTCTCAGAGGCAGGAGGATCAGGTGTTCAGGGTCATCCTTAGCTACCTCAAAACAACAGCAAAAAGAGTGCTCTGTGCATTTTTAGCCTACTATCTCAAAGTTTTATCTTTAAGTAGACTGGGCTATAGGAGAAAACTTGGTAGTGAACACCTTGTCTAGCCCGCAGAAAAGACTTCGGCAGACACAGGATCTCAACTACCACTCAGGAAAATGCTATGATTGGAACAAAAGAAGGAGGCAGGATTGAATGGGAATCGGGCTCTCATATTCTATAAGGTTGGGTATTTTCAAATTTGACTTCATAGTTTTGTTGTGGTAAATACCCAGAAGGTCAAATGCATATTTTTTCAAATAAAGTTACTTATATTTGGTAGAAAGCTAAATTTACATGATTTTAGTATCTCTTTTTTTTTGATGTTGAAAATGACTAAGAACTATAGTATATATATATATATATATAGTTAAAAAATAAAAATACTTAAAGTTCATAATCTATTACCATATTGGATGTCAGCTAGTATAATTCAGATCTCCAGATACACTTGAATAATCTGTGTTTGATATCCATGCCAGTCTGATAATTACTGAGCTCTAGTAGAGTGATGTGCTAGCCGGGTCTCGTTTCAGATGACTGCAGTTTGTGCTGTCTCTAGAGGCTGAGAAGGAAGCAGTTGATAGCCTGCGTTCAGCTGGCTGTAGACTGTGTGCCACGGGCTGCCAATCATACTTCATTGTGGAAGGTTGTTTTCTTCAGATGTCTAAAACCATCTCTTACCTTCCTCCCTTTAGAATGGTGAAAGCATCATGGTGGAACTGGCGGCTGGGCCTTTCGAGAATGCTGAAAAGGTGGGGATGGTGTGGACAGCGGTGTCCACACAGTGTCTGCCTGTCTGTTGCATAATTTTGCCTTCCTACTGTAACTCATTGGTCATGGTGCATGCTAACATCCTATAAAACTTATTTCTCACAAATATAGCCCTTTTCTTAGTTATTCTAAATTATTAAATACCTATTGACTTGGGTTTCATCCTAGAATGATGGAAACTTTGTGGAAGCCACTGCTCAACCCTCAGCTCCCCATGAGAAAGTAAGGATTGTTTTCAGATAAGTTCATTGGACTTTAAAATCATACCCTTGGAGAGGAAACTCTTTGGGTGGGAAAAATTTAGATTGACCAAAACAAAGCAAGAAATATATCAAGGTCTGAGTCCTATTCTTGGTAAAAAGAAAAGAAAAATTAAAGGGTTAGCTGTGGGGGGAGTGCATTAATACTGTTCATCCTCCATGTGTTGGATTAATTTCCTAAAACTACATGTCTTAATTCTTTTAAGTTTTTTGTACAGAATGCATATATGTATTATGTATGTGTATGTTTATATGTTTATGTCCTCTTATTCCAAGTTTCTTTTTAAATAATCAGTTTAAAAAACATTAAAACGACTACTACTCAGTCTTTCCCTTCCTAAGAGAGATTGGGAAGAGATTTATTGGCTCATTCTCTCTCTCTCCCTCTCTCATTCCCTCTCCTTCTGCCTCCCCACCCTCTTCCCTCCTCTCTGCTTTTCTTTCTTACAGTTGCCAGTACTTATCAGGGTGCCAAAGCTGATCTGTTACTCAGTAATGAGTGTATGCTTCATGCCCGTTTCAATATTGGGTTTTGGAGATATTATTGTACCAGGTAAGTGAATATAATAATTTTAGCAAAACTATACTTATGATTTTAAGGGTCGTATTCACAGCGTCTGCTAAAAGTTAGAAGGCTCTGCATTTTTTGACTGTCATTTGAACTGGGATCAATGACAAAGGTAAAAGAAAATGCCTTTTGTAGGGTAAAAGAGAAATCACCGCTCAAAACAGCCAAAGTGAAATGTCTGCTAGCTGAAAAGTATCTTGAAACAGCAAGGATCCATTTAACCTTTTCCTGTAGAGCGTATTTTGTGATCCTCTCCAAAAACTGGATATAATAACACAGTTGCTTTCCAAAGTTTAAGAAGTGCTTTAGCGATATCAGCAAGGTACCATTGACAGAAAGGAACACCAGAACCCTAGCTTACATAGCTTTATAGTTAAAGATAATTGATTAGGAAATGGATCACAGTAGCCTGCAGATTGGGGGCAGACAGGGACCTGTTGAAAACCTAGAGGTAGAGAGAAGCATAAGCAGGAGTGGCTGACTAGGCCAGGAAGGACACTAGATGTGAGATCTAGGCTAGATGTGGGGGAGCTATAGATGGGTGGAGCAAGTGCCCTCACCTGAACAGACACTGGAGGTGGACAGCTAAAAATACTTAGTTAATATGTACATTATGAGATATCTTCTTTGGTGATGCTCAACAAGTTTCTTCTAAAAAATGGGTATTGAGCTGTTCCTGCTTATTTGCATGTACAAATGAGAGTTTATATTTTGGTTTGTTTGTTTGTTTGTTTGTTTTTCTAGATAGGGTTTCTCTGTAGTTTGGGAGCCTGTTGTGGAACTAGCTCTTGTAGACCAGGCTGGTCTCGAACTCACAGAGATCCACCTGCCTCTGCCTCTCAAGTGCTGGGATTAAAGGCATGTGCCACTACTACCTGGCTATTTCATTGCTTTTTAAAATTCTTAGTACTGGAGCTGGGCATCAGCAGTTAAGGGTCTTGTTCTTGCAGAGGACCCAGGTTCAGTCCCAGGACCCACAAGGTTACTCACAGCTCTGTGACTCCAGTTCCAGGGGTTAGAATACCTTCCTCTGATAGGCAGCAGGCACACATGGTGCTCACTCAGACATGTAGGAAAAGCATTCAAACTCATGAAAGAAATAGTTTTTAAATAAAATTACTTGCATTAAAACTTAAGATGCTGGGCTGGAGAGATGGCTCAGAGGTTAAGAGCACTGACTGCTCTTCCAGGGGTCCTGAGTTCAATTCCCAGCAACCACATGGTGGCTCACAACCATCTACAATAAGATCTGGTGTTCTCTTCTGGCATGCTGGAAGAACACTATATATGTAATAAATAAATAAAATTTAAATAAAAAAAACCCTTAAGATGCTGGTTGTGGAGGCACACACTGAAAGGAGGCAGACAGGTGGATCTCTGTGAGTTTAATGCCAGCCTGGTCTACAGAGCAAGTTCCTGGACAGCCAGGGCTACACAGAGAAACTCTGTCTTGAAAGAGAAAAAACAAAACAAAACAAAAAAAACCCTTAAATCATTCTTCTAAATATCTTCTAAAATTATCTCTTTTTATGTATTTCCAATATATTTTAAACCCATGTGTATTTATTCATTTTTTAAAAATTGAAAAATAAAATTATCTATTTTATTACATATAACATATTTTCTAAATGTGTGTACAGTGTTGAATGACAATCTGATTGACGTGCAATACCTCACTTTGTCTGTCATGAGAACACTTGAGATGCACTCAGCAGGTCTCCAGATAATATTCTGCTATTAACTACCATCAATGAGCTGTTTGATGAGTCTCTGGAATTTACTTCCATCTGAGTGAACTTTGTATCCTTTGGTCAGTATTTCCTTCCTCAAACATTCCTCACTCCCACCATTTTATTCTACTTCCATGAGTTCAGCTCTTTGAAGTTTTACTTACAAGTGAGATAATACAGTACTTGTTTGTCCCTTTTTCTTTTTCCATCCTGGGAATTGAACCCAGCATCTCATGCGTTCTAGGCCAGAGCTCTGCTACTGAGCCACTGAGAACCATCCACAACTCTTGTTGATTTGTTTTGTTTTTTGAGACAGGGTTTCTCCCGGTAGCTTTGGAGCCTGTTGGAGATGACCTGCCTCTGCCTCCCGAGTACTGGGATAAAGGGTGCATCACACTGCCCTGCAGTATTTGTTTGTCTATGGCTGGCTATTGTTGCTTTTAATGGAGCGTCTCCAGATTTATCACAGTGCTTTTACCACAAATGGGCAGGATTTCCATATTCTCTCTCATTTCTGCTCTTCTCTTCTGCCTTCTCTCCCCCCAACCCGTGTGTGTGTGCGCACACACACACTTGGTGTGTGGAAGCCAGAGATTGATGTCCCTCACTCTCCTCCTTCCTTCCTTCCTTCCTTCCTTCCTTCCTTCCTTTCTTCCTTCCTTCTTTGAGACAGGGGGTCTCTACACAGCCCTAGCTGTTGGAAAACTCACTCTGTAGACCAGGCTGGCCTTGAACTCACAGAGTGTTTCCTGCCTCTGCCTCCTGAATGATTAAAGTTTGTGCACCACTATACTTTGCTCTTTAAAATTTGTATTTTATTTATTGTGCCTATGGGTGTTTTGCCTGCGTGTGAGTCTGTACCATGTGTGTGCAGTGCCTGTGGAGGTCAGGAGAGAGTATCAGATTCCCTAGAACTGGAGTTACAGATGGCTGTGAGCCACTACGTGGATGCTGAACCCTAGGTACCCTGGAAGAACAGCCAGTGCTCATAACAGCTGAGCCATTTCTCCAACTCAATCTTAATTTTTGAGATAGCATTTCTCACTGGACGTGAAGCTCGCTGATTCGGCTAGCCTGGGAAGTCTTTGAGAGGCAGGGATTCACCTGTCTCCTTCCCCTGGTACTAGGTGGCAAGCATGCTGTCACATGTTGGTGCGGGAATCCACACTCAGGACAGTGCAATAGCCAGTCTTTTGTCCACTGAGCCATCCCTGCAGCCCAATTTCCTTTTTTCCCAAGAAGTAATACTTGATTTTGTATATGTACTGCATTTTCTTTATCCATTCATTTGTAATCACTGACATTGACTTCACGTCTTGGCTGTTCTGAAGATTGAACATGTCTTTTTCCCATACTAATTTCACTTCCTTTGGGTTTTTGCCCAGTAGTGGTAAAGCTGAGTCACGTCATAGAGTTGTATGTTTAAGACAAGTCTTTGCTGTGTAGCCCAAGCTGGACTCAATCTCATGATCCTCCTGACTCTGTCTCCTAAGTCATGGTGGCATAATTACAAGCTTATGCCACCATGCATAGCCAGCTTTTCATTTTTTGTTATTTGTTGTTAGGGCCTCAGGCCTACTAGGCAAATCCAAGAAATACTGATGTAGTTCTTTTCCCATTTTCCCATTGGGTTGGTTTTTCTTACTGTTGGCTTGTTTGGGATCCTTGCATGTGTTAGATATTAGCCCTATCAGTTGTGTTTGCAGATATTCCCATTTCACAGGCTGTTTTCTCGTTCTATTGATTGCTTCCTTTGCTGAGTGGAAGATTTCATGTAATTTCATTGTCTTTCAATATGTGTATATTAATGAAACAAAAATATTTTCTCTCTGATATGGAATATTGAGCAGCTAATAAAGGTCATGTTTTTCAAATACTGTTGAATGGCTTAGGGGCAATGTCTAAAGTGTGGCACCAATTTTTTAAAAATCAACATATGAAAGTTGGTTCATGATTTAAGATATTTTAATACTCTTGTAGTCCAAAAAAAGAGTGAAATTCAACCGGTATTGTTTCCCATTATAACAGTTGAATTTGTAATGTCATTACTGTTTTAAGAAAATAATATGGATTTTCTTTTAGGCCTTTTGATTGCATATTGTAGAAGATTCGATGTTCAGACTGGTTCTTCTTCTATATACTATATTTCATCCACAATTGGTAAAATTCATTTCTTTTTATTTTGTTGCATTATATTGTATGGAGAAAAAGCTAAAGGGCTAAAAGTAATAGTCTATATTCCTCTTTTTATGACTTTTACATGAAGTGTTATAGATCATGTGCATAACCCTAAGCATAAAGCTATAAACTAGTATTTAAATATTAAATTATGAAAGCAGATGTCAGGCTGTGGGAGTAACTCAGTTGGTGGAGTTACTACAACATGCGTAGTTCCTTAGGCGTGGCCCCCAGCTCCACACACACCAGTGTGACTGCCCGTACCTGTAATGTCAACATTTGGCTGATAGAGGCAGGAGGACCAGGAATTAAGGATCAGCCTCAGCTACAGCAGTCTGGGGCCATTCTTGAATATGTGAGACCCTGATTCAGTAAATAAATACATAAATACAGATAAGTAATTAAATAGTAAATGTTAAGGGCTCACACAGAAATATGTCTCCAAAAGTAGTTACTAACAATATGAGCTTTGGTCTTCAAAGCTAAATTGTGGTGGGGAGCTAAGTGAAGAGATTCTGGCCAACTTGTGCATGGTGAGCATGGCTCTGGCAGGCCTTGCCCTTCTTCCCATTCCTGCTTAAAAAACAAAACAACAACAACAAACGGTTATACTACATTCCTAAAGTTAGCCCCCATGATCTGTTCCCTTATTTTGTCCACTTCCTCCTCCTGAAGCTGACTATCAAGGTCCACCTATCAAAGTATTGAATTGCAGCAATCAAAAGCCCCCTTTGGCGCACCTAATTAACATGTCCAATCAAAATTAAACACCTCATCCTAACACAGGGTTTCCCCATTTACCTTTATAAACCACCATTTGCCACATCAGTCTACTCTCTCTATCCAGAGGCAGTCCTTTGTCTCTCTGGGGCAAATAAATCTCCTTTGTGCTGAAGACTTGGCCTTGGGGGTCCTGAGCTGATACTTTCCCTTTCAATAAGTACCACTTTCCCCCCCCCCCTTTTTTTCTGAGACAGGGTTTCTCTATGTAGCCCTGGCTTTCCTGGAACTCACTCTGCTGACCAGCCAGGCCTCAAACTCAGAGATCTGTCTGCTTTTGCTTCCCTAGTGCTGGGATTAAAGGTGTGTGCCACCACCACGTGGCTAAGTACCACTTAAAAATACGGAAATAAACAGAAAATCTAGTAAAAGTTAATAGAGCACTTGCTTTAGCAGTTATATGTAAACCAAAGCCCATTCAAATAACCTGTAAGGACAGTCCAGTTACTCTATCATCTTAAACAGTGAAATGTAGGACTGAAGAGTCAACATAGCAGTTAAGAGGACATGTCGTTCTTGCAGAGGACCCAGGTTCAAATCCCAGCTTCTACTTGGTGTCTCACAGTTGTTTGTAACCTCGTTCCCGGGTATCTGACTCCTGTTTCTGACCTCTGAGGGCACCATGCATGCACATGGTGCACATTCTGGTCAACATGATGGAGTCAAGAATGCTCATCAAAAGCTGTAATAGGAGTATTTGTCAGTTCTGCTGTGTGACTGTGGGCCACTCACTCAACCTCCCCGATCTTCTTCCATCATCTCAGCTTTACATTATGTAGCCAGACTACATTGCCTGTAAAGGTGTTTGCAGCGTCAGCAGTCTGAGAGCATGCATTCATATGACACCCCGGATCAGTAGGGAATGTCTAAATAATGTTTGGTATGTACTTGTTAAGGAAGTCTGCAGTCTGTAAGATTTGGTTTCTTTCTAATTATATGTATATGTGTGCCTCTGGCGAGTGCAGTGCCCCAAGAGGCCAGAGACATCAGACCCACTTGGAGCTGGCATGGCAGGCAACTGTAAAAATCCAGCACCCCTGGCAGGAGGCTCATCTGCCTCTACCACCAATGCTAGTGCCCGCAGCCCCTCTAGCCGCAGGAGCCTGCAGGAGCCTGCACTCACTATCACAGATCCACACGCAGACACAGATACAAATACATAATGAAAAATGGGCCTTGTTTAAAGATATCGTCAGAAATATTTGAAAACTAGTATTTTAATGGGGAAGGAAGAAGCCACTCCTAGAAGCATGTAAAACTGACCTTGCTTCTATTTCCCACAGCCTATGCCGTTGGCATGATAATTACGTTTGTTGTCCTTGTGCTGATGAAGAAGGGGCAGCCTGCTCTCCTCTATTTAGTACCTTGTACACTTATTACTGCCTCAGTCGTTGCTTGGAGTCGTAAGGAGATGAAAAAGTTCTGGAAAGGTAGCAACTATCAGGTATGTGATTACACTTTATAATCCACTGGCCGCTATGCTGTAGCCCATTTATAGCAAATCTTTCTGTGTCAGAAATTTATGTAACCCCAGGATGCCCCGAGCTCTTCCTGTTCACCCCTGTTGGCATCTGCCTGCTGTGGCACGGGTTCTTGGTGCCCACTGCAAGTGGATGCCGCAGCCCTGTCATGTTACTGTGGCAGGACATTGGGAACACATCATGTGTACAGGTACCATAAACGCCATGCAAGTTGCAACTATGTCAAATAAATGCTGAATTTTGAAACTGACAGTAAAGTTGAAAGTAAGAGACCTAAGGTTTTGAAATGAAAATAATGTGTTCTTTTCCACATTTGAAGGTATCAAACCAACTTCAGTTGGGTACTCACTTCAGACTTTAATGGATCAAGATGTTTCCTTCTTCAAAATTCCTATAACAAGGAAAATCATAATTTCAGAGTCTGTTGTTTGAGTTATTTTTTAATAGAAGTAACCCCCCATTTTCTTTCTTTCTTTTTCTTTCCTAAATGTTCTTGGAAATCCAGACAAGTTGGTTTGCACTGAAATTGAAGAGTTGAGAAGCCCTCCCCTACTCAGTTAGGCCGTGTCACTGGCCCTTCCTTCCCAGAGGCACTTTGTAAAGCAGTTATTTCTGATTCATTCCAGTGGAGTGAACTGTTCCCTCCATCTGCCCTCACGGCTGTGTGTCAGTAGTCACATGAGCAGAGCGGCACTGGGAGCAAGGGGCTGCAAATGCTTGTACCAGAGAAACAGTTCAGGTGGCTAGTAAAATAGCTGATAATTTTTCCATGAAGATGACCCACATCAATTTTTCCCTAATACTGGAGATCAAACCTAGAGCTTCCATATGGTGTGTGTGTGTGTGTGTGTGTGTGTGTGTGTGTTTAAATAAGAGTATTGAGTCATATATGGTGGCCCACACCTGTAATCCGAACCCTTGGGAGATGGAGACTGGAGATTGAGGAATTCAAGGCCAACCTCAAACACATAGCAAGTTAGGGACCCTGTTTTAATCAATAAGACTAAAGTGTGTCCTAAACTACTACTAACTTTTGAATGTCTTATCCTCAAAATGGCTTTTTACCCTTCTTAATAGTTTTATATTTATGCATTTAATGACTGTGTATTGAACGATTCTCTGGGCTAAGGATGATTTCAAATACTGACTTTATAGGATGAGCAAGTTAGCAGCAGGCCTCCTCTTGTTGCCTTGTGAAACTTGCTAAGAAATGCAGACAGAGTCGCCAGCAATAAAGTGTGATGAATGCGTTGATAACAGCAAAGGGTCCTGGTACCTAGGGATGGGATGTCTAAGGCCAAGGACAGGACAAGTTTATGAGTGATTTGGAGAAGGGCTTCTAAAAACTGTTAAATCTCACTTAAAATTGGGCTGTATGTTCATCTTAAAGGAACCATGTCTTCAGAAGTTCCAAGGGAAGAAAGCTGGCACATTCTGAGACCTGAATGGAGCTTAGGGGAACTCTAGTGTTGAGTATGGATGAAGGACCCTTCCTTAGTTAGGGTTCTATTGCCGTGAGAGACACCATGAACATGGCAACTCTTATAAAGGAAACATTTAATTTATGGCTGGATTACAGCTTCAAAGGTTTAGTCCAATATCGTCATGGCGAGAAACATAACAGCATGCAGGCAGACATGGTGCTGGCGATGGAGCTGAGAGTTCTCCCTCTTGATCCACAGGCAGCAGGAAACTGTTTGCCACACTGGGCATGGCTTGAGCATAGGAGACTTCAAAGCCTGCCCCACAGTGGCACCATTCCTCCAACAAGGCCACAGCTCCTAATAGTGCCACTCCCTATGGGCCAAGCATTCAAACACATGAGTCTTTGGGGGTCATTCTTTTTCATACCACCTCACGAGGGTAGTGAACATCCTTCTGTCTTCTGTAGAGGCATGGCTGGACAGCTAGGTGATCCTGTCAGCGGGTCCTGGCTTCCCTTTCTCATTATTTTTATGTATTTCATTTATAATTTCTTGTAAAAAAAATCTTTTACTGGCTGTATATTAATATTCGCTGGGTGGTGATGATGGCACATACCTTTAATCCCCACAGTTGGGAGGGAGAGGCAGGTGCATCTCTGAGTTGGAGGCCAGCCTGGTCTACAGAGTAAGTTCCAGGACAGCCAGGGCTACACAGAGAAACCCTGTCTCAAAAAAACAAAACAAAAAATATGTTTGCTGCTATTCTTTATTATTTTTACCCAGACATTTCCTAAGGGATTTTATGGGAAATGGTAAAATTGATATGAAAAGATACTCATCAGTGAACATCTGGCCTTCTTGTTCTGCGAGGTAACATAAGTTAATGTCATTGGCAGTTAATGGTCTGAAAGTCTGTCTATAGGCTCTCTGTTTTTTCTTCAGTAATTTCTTTCTGCCTGTTTTAATTATTAAGTAATATATGTTTGTTTGTTGGTTGGTTTGGGTTTAGGTTTTGAGTCTTTTAAAACAGGACCTACTCAGAGGTCCGAGCTGTGTTAACTCCAGTGTAGTGCCTGCTGCCCTTGGGCTCTCAGAAGTCCTGCTGCCTTACTGTCCCACATGCTGGGATTATAAGAGTCTGCTACCATGCTTCAGCTTGTATTTGTATTTTTATTTAAAAAGTTTTACAGATGTATTTATGCTCAGTGGAGATGTGCCTGTAGAGGCTAGAAGATTCCTTGAAGGAGGAGTTACAGGTTCATACTTGGAACCAAACTCAGGGTCTTCTAGAAGAGCAGCAAGTGTTCTTAACCACTGAGGCATCTCTCCAGCCCTCGTTTTTGTATTTTTCAAACAAGAAATACAATAGTGGGGCTGGAGGCCAGGCAGTGGTGGCACATGTTTTTAATCCCAGCACTTGGGAGCCAGAGGCAGGCAGATCTCAGTGAGTTTGAGGCCAGCCTGGTCTACTACCATAGCTAGTTCCAGGACAAGCTCCAAAAGCTACAGAGAAACCCTGTCTCTGGGCTGGAGAGATAATTCAGAGCACGTACTGATCTTCTGAAGGACCACAGTTCAGTTCCCAGCACTAACATCTAAGAATCTCATAGCTGTCAGTAACTCTGGTTCTGGGAGCTCCTACATACCTCAGAAGGTTCCTGCTCATGTGCACATATCCAAACACAAATACATTATTAAAGACAAAATACATCTAGCTAGGCGGTGGTGGCGCACGCCTTTATTCCCAGCACTTGGGAGGCAGAGGCAGGCGGATCTCTGTGAATTTGAGGCCAGCCTGGTCTATAAGAGCTAGTTCCAGGACAGGCTCCAAAGCTACAGATAAACCCTGTCTCAAAAAACAAAACCAAAAAAGATAAAATACATCTTTAAAAATATACAGGAGCTAGAGAGATGGCTTAATGGTTGGGAACACTGACTGTTCTTGCAGAGGACTGAGTGTTGATCCCAGGACCCACATATGTCTCCCAATCTCCTTAATTCCAGTTCTAGAGGATCCAACCCTTAAACATACATACAGGAAAAACACTCATACACACAAAATAAAAAGAAATAAAGGTATTTTTAGAAAGAAAAGTGTCTCAAATCAAAGTGGAAGGCCCTTTTTAAGCTACCCTAGCCCTCTCCTGCCGTTTCAGGAGGTGTTGTGGGAGCTGCGGGCTGTGTTCCACCCAGCTCCCGCCACTGGCTAGCTTTACCCGAAATAACAACACACAAATTGTATTCTTTTAAATACTGCTTGGCCCATTATATCTAGCCTCTTCTCAGCTAACTCTCGCACCGGGACTAGCCCATTTCTAATAATGTGTGTAGCACCCCAAGGTGCACTTACCTGGAAGATTCTATCCTACGTCCATCCTGGGTCGGAGTTTCATCGCGTCTGCCTCAGAGAGCAGAGCTGCATCGCATCTGAGCTCACTTCCTCTTCCTCTCAGCATTCTGTTCTGTTTACTCCGCCTATATAAATTTTAACCTATCAGGGCCAAGGCAGTTTCTTTATTTAACCAATGATCTTCCTCCATCAAGGAGGGACAGCTACCTTGAACAGGTTGTCTGTAGCTTCCAGCTCTTTGTGTGCTATCTCATAGTGAAATAGTTGGTTATTTTAGATATGCTGTATACATAAAAGCACAAATGTTGCATCTCTCTGGAGATCTACTCTTTTTGTGTTTCTCTGGCTTCTTTTAGCATTTTATTTTCTCTTTCTATTATGTTTATTGAGAGGGGATGGTTTTAGGATATTCCTGGTGGAAGGAATTCCACCAGGACGTATTCGTGTTTGTCATAGCCATATGTTCTGCTTGGGACCATCCACATTTCTCTCTCTCTCTCTCTCTCTCTCTCTCCCTCTCTGTTTTCTGAGATTCCAAGATGGTGTTTCTCTGTGTAGCTCTGGCTGTCCTGTAACTTGGTTTGTAGACCAGACTAGTCTGGGACTCACAGAGATCCGCCTGCCTCAGCCTCCTGCGTGCTGGGATTAAAGATATGCTCTGTGTTGGGTACAAGGTGAGACATACCTAGTCGAAAATCCAAAATTTTCTAAACTCTGAGATTCAGAGGTGTGGTGGTTTGAATGAGAACGGCCTCCATAGGAGTGATGCTTGCGTGTGTAATCCCTGACCCATAGAACTGTTTAGGAAGGATTAGGAGGTGTGGCTTTGTTGGAGGTGTGACACTAGGGGCAGGCTTTGAGAGGTGCTGCTCCCCTCCCAGTTAGCTCCCCTCTGTCTCCTACTGTGGCTCAACATGTGAGCTCTCAGCCAGGGGAGGGGGGGATGGCGCACACCTTTAATCCCAGCACTCGGGAGGCAGAGGCAGGCAGATCTCTGTGAGTCTGAGTCAAGCATGGTCTACAAGAGTTAGTTTCGGGACAGGCTCCAAAACTACAGAGAAACCCTATCTTCAAAAACCAAAAGCCAAAAGCCAGAAGAAAAAAAAAAAAGATGCGAGCTCTCAGCTGTTCCTGTTGTCATGCCCTTGATCCCCATCATGGATTTTAACTCATGTTTGTATCCTCTCCACAAAACATCTCTTTATGGATAGGCAAATATGCCAAACATTTTCAAAATCTGAAACACTTTCAGGCCCAAGTATTTCAGATAAGGAAATCTTGTTTTTGTTTTTGAAGACAGGGTTTCTCTGTGGTTTTGGAGCCTGTCCTGGAACTAGCTCTTGTAGACCAGGCTGGCCTCGAACTCACAGAGATCCGCCTGCCTCTGCCTCCTGAGTGCTGGGATTAAAGGCGTGTGCCACCACCACCACTGCCCAGCTCATATAAGGGAATCTTAATTTATAGTTAAATTAAGGGAAGAGGGTAGAACTTTCCACTGGAGACTTGTTCAGGGGATGGTATAAGCCTGGTATAAGGGACTGAGCCTGGGCCCCACACGTGCCAAGCAGGTGCTGTATATGTAACCACATCAGTTTGTTTATTTATTTATTTAGATTTTTTTTCGAGACAGGGTTTCTCTGTAGTTATGGAGCCTGACTTGGAACTAACTCTTGTAGACCAGACTGGCCTCGAACTCACAGAGATCCGCCTGCCTCTGACTCCCAAGTGCTGGGATTAAAGGCATGCGCCACCACCACCTGGCATCATATCCTATTTTTAAAGGCCCTGGTAGCATAAAATGCAGACAACACCTAGGTGCTGTAGTACTTAGCTTGGAATCTTTCTCCCTCTTTTGTAAACTTTTCATCAAATGAAGTAAGATTTTTTTTTTCTACAGTTTCATTAAAATAATATGAATTTGGAAAAAAATCAGTTACAAATTCCTTTCTATAGCGTCAGGGGCTAGTTCAGTTTCTTTTATGACATTTTTCTGGATACTTCTAGAGTTCCAGTATTCAGTTTCGTTCGTCATAGATCTAACTAATGTAGAGTGAACAGATGATTTTTTCCTTAGAGAGAAAGATGGAGTAGAGTGTAAGGACTGCGGGGTGGTACTTAGTCTTTCTCATAGTAAATCAAGTGCAGTGGGAGCCGAGCGTAGCTCCCCACAAGCTGTTTACTCTGCTGCTCCCGGCCTGAGGTCCGGTGAACAGTGTGTCTGTGAATGTCACTCACACTTGTAATTATTTTTAGAAGTCACAAGCTGTAAGTCACGAGTCGGGCTGCAAAGCTACTTAGAGCAACCACTTGAGAGCAGGAGCTCCAGTTACTCAGGTTAATGTATTAAGCCATTTTCAGAGAGCAGTTCTAAACAAGTAGAGCTTTGAAAATGCCAGTTTTGCTGGCCCAATTTCAAAGGACAATTTTTTTCAAACAGATTGCCTATTTACAAATGTGAAATATTGATTTTGCCAGTTAATTTTATTGGCTATGTTGATTTGTTGAGTTTCTAAGTACTTGATCTTCACGTTTGTTCTGTTTATTTCTTTATTGTTGTTACTGAAATCTTAAAGAGTAGGAAGCAGAAATGGTAACTTTTCAATTAGTAGACTTTTAAATTGTTTTGTTGTTGTTTATTGAGCTTTGTTTTTGAAAAAGTGTGGGGTGGGGTGGGGGGAGTTTGTCTCACTGTGTAGTCTAGGCTTCCTGAAACCCAGACTCCTCCTGCCTCAACTTTCTGCATGCCAGGATCACAGCCGTGTACACCATGACTGGTTAATTAATATATCTATATTTAGGGCTGGAATTATAGAGCCCAGAGTGATACCTAAGAATTAGGAAAACAGAAGCCTGTTATAATGCTGGGTACATAGCTCTTACCCTTAGGATGGTTGCCAGGTACACAGATCACAGAGAAGAGAAGCTTTGTGTCTTCCCCACCCCTACAGTCCTTTCTCATGGCTGCTTCAGGTCTCCCACTGCTCTGGCCTTCTGTCAGAAGAAAGGGCCATATTCACGTACATAAATGTATCTAGGTGTATGTCTATAATTGTAAATGTAATTAAAATGAACTTTTCCACCACTTCACCTTATGTCCCATGTTATGGGATACTTAGTGTTACCTATCTTGATTGGCTTTTATCTTTTTTAAAACTCATTGAAGTTTACTGTGTCTTTTTGGGATGCTGTAAAAGGAACTTAGAGCTTCCATATGCTAAGCACTCCCTTTAGATCCCCATCCTTTGAATTTTTTTTCTCCTAGAAGTGTTACGAACATGAAACTGCCTTAATCTAGGTGTTATCTTGACAGATAAAGGACTGAGTAAGTGACTCTGGCCTTTGATAACTGTGGTTGCTGACAGGTGAGCTTTACTGGAAGTGTTCCTATTGGTGAAGGTGCCTGTCAGCTGAAAGCCTCAGCTTAGAGGCACTCTTGTTTGGCAAGTCCAGAAATCCCATGTGGAGCAATCCCTCCTTCTTCAAAAAAAAAAAAAGTGAATTATTTAGAATCTTTAAAAACAATAGAACATTTATATTGCTGGCCTTTCCATTTTCTGATTCTCAATAATGAAGAAGGAAAACATGTATAATGATACTGAAATCTAGTCATTAATTGGTCTAAATGTCTTTGACAATTTTTACAAAAAGATCACATTTTCTATTTTTAAGTAATTTTATCTAAATAATGGTTTTAAAAGTTTTGAAATATTTAACACTTCCTTTTTCTTGCATTTCCAAATATTTTAATTTTCTTACAGAATATGCATAGAATTAAAGTAAAATACTCACTTGTAATGCCTTTGAAGCATTCTTTAGTGAATCCATTTTGGTTTGTTTTCAGGTGGTTGTTTTTTTTTTTTTTTTTTTTTTTTGGTTTTTCAAGACAGGGTTTCTCTGTGGTTTTGGAGCCTGTCCTGGAACTAGCTCTTGTAGACCAGGCTGGTCTCGAACTCACAGAGATCTGCCTGCCTCTGCCTCCCGAGTGCTGGGATTAAAGGCGTGCACCACCACCGCCCAGCTTTGTTTTCAGGTGTTTTAAGTGCTCTTGTTTGCATTTTTATTAGGAGGAGTTTTTGTTGTGTAATACTTCCAAACGTTCATGTATCATTCTTTTACTTGCTTGGGTGGTGATGGGGTTTTGTTGATTTTGTTTGCTTGTTTTGCAAGGGATATGAGTGTGTGTGTGTGTGTGTGTGTGTGTGTGTGTGTGTGTGTGCCTGTGTGTCTCGAGATTTGCTGTGTAACGTTGGCGTGCCTAGAACTTGCTGTAGACTAGAGTGGTCTGAAATTCATATAGTGATCTGACTTCCTTTGCCTCTTAAGTGCTGGAATAAGGAGCAGCTTTCTATGTTATTCTTACATTATCTTAACAAGGTTGCAAGGTTGCAGAGCCAGCAGGGATTTTCACACTAACTTCTGGAACCGTTTTTAACTTTGCACTTACACAAGTGCACACTGCCTCCGTCTTCTTTTTAAGTGGAATTCCTGCTGCTACAAAGGGCAGTTTGTATTTCACACTGGGAAAAAGAGACAAATGGAAGATCCCAAAAATGCAGTATTCATACGGGCTGCAAGTCTTATAATTCATCCTTCTGAGAAGTTAAACATGATGTTGACCTAAACAGTGGTCCAAAAGGAATACTTGGTTCCATAAGGTCACTTGTGTTTTAAGGTTTACTTTTATTATTTTTAATTATGTGTATGTATGTGGGCATATACACATTAGTACACATATGGTGTCCAGAGGCAAGTGATCCTCCTGGGGCCAGAATTACATGCAGTTCTTATTTCACCAAAGTGGGTGCTGACCAGACTAAGAGTGCTCTTCATCTCTGCCATCTCTCTCTTGCCCCAAGATTACTCTTTTTGGGTTTTGAGATAAGGTCTCTCTATGTAACTCTGGCTGTCCTGCAATTTACTGTTTTGATCAGGCTGGCTTCGAACTCACAAAGATTGACCTACGTCCTGAGTGCTGGGATTAAAAAAAAAGGGGGGGGGCATGGGATGACTGGGGATTTAGCTCAGTTGGATCCAGAGGGGAGGGGAAGGGGGAGGAACTGGGAGGGGAAACTGCAATCATGATATATTGTATGGGAAAATAATTATTTCCAATAAAAGGGCAAAGGGCATGGGTGGGGAGATAGCTCAGTTGTAAAGTGCTTCCTGAGTAGGCATGACGTGTGAATTCAGGTGTCCAGAACTCATTTAAAAAACCACGTGGGCCAGGCAATGGTCTACAAGAGCCAGGACAGGCTGCAAAGCTACATAATTAAAAAAATTTTTTTTAAAAAGCCACGTGGAAGGGCTCAGGCTTGGTGGCACTTGCCTCTTAATCCCAGCGCTCTGGAGGCAGAGGCATGTGGATCTCTGTTAGTTTCAGGCTACCTAGGACTACTTAAGTGAGACTATCTCAAAAAAAAAATAAAAGTAAGAGAAAGAGAAGAAAGCTAAGATCAGTGGGTACGGGTTGTGGAGATGGACAGACCCCTGGAACTCTCTGGTCAGTATCTGGTCAGTCACACGCGTGCGTGTACACATGCCTGTTTACCCAGACGTACACATACAAACACACACACACAAACATCACACAAAAACAGAATACTTTTGCCAAATTAATGAAGAGTGGAAGGGAAGTTTAGCATTTGCATTTTCTGATATCTTTTCTTTATGCCTAGGTGATGGAGCACCTGGACTATTCAACAAATGAAGAGAGCCCAGGGACCACTGGTGAGCAGGCTGTGCAGCAGTAATAACGTGGACCTACAAGGATGTGCTATTGATTGTTTTACAAATAGAATTTGCCCACCCCACTCCATCCCCCCCCCCTTCTTTCTTTTTTGCTGTTGGAGACAGAGTCAGTACTGAAACTCATTGTCCTCCTGCCTCAGTCTCCCAAATGTTTGAGGACTATAACTGGGAAACACCATGCCCAGAAAGTTTGAAATCAAAATTTGAACTGAAAATTGGAAACATTTGCAATGATGTTTGCCAATCCATATATTTTTATGAGCTGGTAAAATTCATTATACATAGCGAAAATGCATTTCCTTTTAATTATGTTAAAATTGTGCCTTCACAATCAATGAAAAACATAGGGTTTGTGTAGTTTCTAATGTATTATATACATTATATTTTTCTAAAAAAAAAAAAGACACTTTGACCCTCCCTTGTACTTTTCTAAAATATTTCTCCAAAATCCAAGGATAGTTCATTTATAAGTGTCAAATCAAGTTTCTTTCTTTTCTTTTTTTCTTTTCAAGACAGGGTTTCCCTGTGTAGCTTTGGAGCCTGTCCTTACCAGGCTGGCATTAAACTCACATAGGTCCACATGCCTCTGCCTCCCAAGTGCTGGGATTAAAGGTGTGCGCCACTGCTCGACTCAAATCAAGTTTCTTGAATAAATGTTTTGTTTAAGATTTATGCAGATCTTATCCCCTCTACAGGAATAACTGCTTGCGGCTGTGCAAGAAGGCAGTTCAGCGATGAAAATTGGTCTTTATATCATGTAGAGGTTTTAAAGATGCACAAGGGGATACATAGAAACACATCCCTTTGTAGTTCAAGTTTAAATTTTTTCCTTACCTTTATTTTTACTTCATGTGTATGGGTATTTTGCCTGTATACATGTATGTCTGTGCACCACATTTGTGCCTGGTGCCTGTGGAGACCAGAAAAGGGTGTTGGATCCCTTGGTACTGGAGTTACAGATGGCTGTAAGCTGCTGCCATGTGGGTGCTGGGACTTGAACCCAGGTCCTCTGGAAGAGCAGTCAGTGCTCTTAAGTGCTGAGCCATCTCTCCAGCCTTGTAGTTTTAAGTTTTTAAAAACTTGTCACCCTTTTTTTAAACTTGAGGACCTTAATTACTTCAGGCTGCATATGTATCATATTAGACTGTTTTTCAGATAGAAAGAAACATAATATATAGAAATAGTCATTAGGAGGATACAAAAATTGAATCTAGTTTATATCATTACACATTTACTTGAAGGAAGATACAGATCAAACGTCTGTACTTACTCTAAGTTTTACTTTGGTTTTTCTGATCTTTGAAATGTAATTCCATTGGTTAGGTAAGGTTTTATCTTCTAAATTTTTTTCTTATCTGACTAGATACTATGCATCTAACTTATTGTTTTCCTCGACTGCCCTGCCAGTCTCCCCTTTGTCATCGCTCTCTGGTTTCCAGTCCTTTTCCCATAAGTGAGCACCCCTGACCTTGGAGGGCTGTGTACTGTTAGGAGTACAAACGTACTTCAGTTCATCAGTTTTCTCTCCTCCAGAATGCGTGATTAGAGCAGTTATCACTCTGCTAACTTACAACTTGAGAACAAAATAATTTTCTTCTCATCCTTTGCAAAATCTCAGGTGTTTTTCTAGAAATTAGATGTGAAGTTATCTTTCAAGTTATTTTAATTTCTCTAAGAAAGTACCAAGTGACAAGCGCTGCAGAAGCTCAGGATTTTGCATTTCTGTGTCAAGAATGCACTTGCTGTGTGAACAAATCCAGTCTTTCATGTTGAGGCCAGTTCAGCTTATTCAAAGGTAAAAACTAGTACATTGAAAAATGGGGTAGACCTTTGATATTTGAACGAAAGTTCCATTAGATGCTTTTGTTTACTTGTTAACTCTTGCTGAGCAATGGCAGGGAGCTGTGCCGACAGCCCCTCCTTTCTACTCAGTACAGTGTGGGGTCTTCTGTTAAATCAGCTATCTGGTGAGAGACAGGTGCCATTTTACAATTTCAACTGTACTTTCCCATATGTTGTCAATAAAATGCTTGCCAAAATACAGCTGTTTTACTAACATCTGCATCCTCATTCAAGTCTGTGATATTCAGAAGCACCAGTTATATTTTATGAAGAGTTAAAGAAAAATTAGTCTTTTAAAAACTATGTTGAAATAACGATTCCTCAAAATAATTTGGTCTCATTAATTTGTAACTAATACTTAATTTCTTAATTTAAACCATTGCTCCAGAAGACCACTTAACACAAATCTACAAATCTGATTTTTTTTTTTTTTTGGTTTTTCGAGACAGGGTTTCTCTGTGGTTTTGGAGCCTGTCCTGGAACTAGCTCTTGTAGACCAGGCTGGTCTCGAACTCACAGAGATCCGCCTGCCTCTGCCTCCCGAGTGCTGGGATTAAAGGCGTGTGCCACCACAGCCCGGCCAAATCTGATTTTTTGACTTATTTGAGACAAAGTGTATTTTAGCCAACCCTCATATTGTAATTAAAGTCTCACTCATAGACTGAAGTGTAGCTCAGTGTTGGAGTACTTGCCTACCATGTTCCAAGTGCCTACCTCTGCACTGCCGATGAAACAACTTACTAAGTAGCTATAAATAACAAAAACAATTTCCTAGAGTCTCTTTCCTTCCTGCCAATTTCATATGTTCTTAAACAACCCTCTTAGCAACATAGATGGAAATAGCTCTTTAGAGAAAATAAAATACATAAATACTGGGTCTTGGAACTAAAAATGAATAGATATCAGAGATGAAAATTTGACTTCTCTCTTGCTTACCTAACACCAATAGCTTTTTTTTTTTTTAATTTTTTTTTAATTTTTTTTTTTTATTTTTCGAGACAGGGTTTCTCCGTAGCTTTTTTGGTTCCTGTCCTGGAACTAGCTCTTGTAGACCAGGCTGGCCTCGAACTCACAGAGATCCGCCTGCCTCTGCCTCCCGAGTGCTGGGATTAAAGGCGTGCGCCACCACCGCCCGGCACCAATAGCTTTTAAGAGGTAAAGAAGTTGGATTTTTTTTCCCTTGAACACATTTTAAAAATAAAGTATATGGTATTTATTACCACTTATTGCAAAATACAATACTTGCTGGAAAGTTCCACACTTGTGGTTTAGCAAATAGAAATCATTGATCTTAAATGATTTTAAATTTTATTTTCTTCTAGCTTTTAAGTTTTACTTTTTATTAGCAACTTCTTTATAGTAGTATGCAGTTTAATATCCTTTGTTCCATATGGTGCTGGCATTCATGTGTTTTAGTTACATGCACAGGCAGGTTCTGGTAGAACATAATATTTTTACTAAATACTAATGATCTTTCTAGTTTTCTTTGCTCTTTCAGTGTCCACTTTGTTTTGTTTTGTTTTTCGAGACAGAGTTTCTCTGTGTAGCTTTGGACCCTGTCCTGGACTGTGCTCTGTAGACCAGGCTGACCCTGAACTCACAGAGATCCACCTGCCTCTACCCTCCGAGTGCTGGAATTAAAGGTGTGCGCCACCAACCATCCAGACAGTGTCCACATTCTTAAAACGTGCTCAGTTGTGGAGCTCTGGTCCAGGGCTTTGCACACTCTGAGCAAGTACTGGACCACTGAGAAGCTTTTCCAGCTCCTCAGTTTGTGCTCTAGGTAGAAGTGGAAATGATATGTACATTTGATGAAAACATATCTAATCTTTTAAGCCAATCCTGCAGAACTTTGAGTTGATTCCAGTCTGTAAACTTTCAGAACTGGAATTGTCTTCCTGGCTGGTACACACAATGCTTGAAGAAGCTTTTGTTGTTTTCCATGAATAAGACAAATAGGTTGACACAACTCGAGGTTGTGGTACGTGATCAATTGGCCACACAGTGGTTTTGACTAGGGATTAAAACATTATAAACAGCTGTGCTCTTCCTTTGAAATACTCATTTTTAGAAATACCTGAAGTATATCTGGTTAGCTTGCAGCTTCCCAGTAACTTTTGTCTGGTTCCCCATCTACCTTTTAAGACTACATAATTGGATTTTTACTTCTTAGGTGGTTGATTTGTATATGGGATTCTTTTTCTACTACTTTTCTATGTAAGTTAGTGTAAATTGGTATTTTTATAACAACACTACTAGACTTTACTTTCTTACGGAACATGATCTAAACTTAGATTTTTGGAGTGTTAATTTCGCAGTAAGTGAAGTTCTCTTCATCATGTGCCAATTCTGATAAGAAAAACAACTCTTAGTGTATTGAATTTACTGCATTGTTCAATAAACTCTATTTTAAAATAAAAAGCTGAATTTGTTTTATTTTGTATGGCAAAAGAAATCATCGAAAATGATCCACAGGCACACTAAATCATGTCCATGTATTATGTATACTCCCAAAAGGGAACAATATGAAATTTTGCAGTTATTTAGATTGACAGTTTATCTTTGAAGCCCAGATTTCATACATGAATCTTTTTTTTAAATTTATTTATTTATTAAGGATTTCTGTCTCTTCCCCGCCACCGCCTCCCATTTCCCTCCCCCTCCACCAATTAAGTCCCTCCCCCCTCCTCAGCCCGAAAAGCAATCAGGGTTCCCTGTCCTGTGGGAAGTCCAAGGAACCCCCACCTCCATCCAGGTCTAGTAAGTTGAGCATCCAAACTGCCTAGGCTCCCACAAAGCCAGTGCGTGCAGTAGGATCAGAAACCCATTGCCATTGTTCTTGAGTTCTCAGTAGTCCTCATTGTCCGCTATGTTCTGAGAGTCCGGTTTTATCCCAGGCTTTTCCAGACCCAGGCCAGCTGGCCTTGGTGAGTTCCCAGTAGAACATCCCCATTGTCTCGGTGTGTGGGTGCACCCCTTGCGGTCCTGAGTTCCTTGCTCGTGCTCTCTCTCCTTCTGCTCCTGATTTGGACCTTGAGGTTTATGTCCGGTGCTCCAATGTGGGTCTCTGTCTCTGTCTCCTTTCATCGCCTGCTGAAGGTTAATATTCAGGAGGATGCCTATATGTTTTTCTTTGGGTTCTCCTTATTTAGCTTCTCTAGGATCCCTAATTATAGGCTCAATGTCCTTGGTTTATGGCTAGAAACCAAATATGAGTGAGTACATCCCATGTTCCTCTTTTTGGGTCTGGCTTACCTCACTCAGGATAGTGTTTTCTATTTCCATCCATTTGTATGCAAAATTCAAGAAGCCCTTGTTTTTTACTGCTGAGTAGTACTCTAATATGTATATATTCCATACTTTCTTCATCCGTTCTTCTATTGAAGGGCATCTAGGTTGTTTCCAGGTTCTGGCTATCACAAACAATGCTGCTATGAACATCGTAGAGCATATACTTTTGTTGTATGATAAAGCCTCTCTTGGGTATATTCCCAAGAGTGGTATTGCTGGGTCCAGGGGTAAGTTGATCCCGAATTTCCTGAGAAACCGCCACACTGCTTTCCAAAGTGGTTGCACAAGTTTGCATTCCCACCAGCAATGGATGAGTGTACCCCTTTCTCCACAACCTCTCCAACAAAGGCTATCATTGGTGTTTTTTATTTTAGCCATTGTGACAGGTCTAAGATGGTATCTTAAAGTTGTCTTGATTTGCATTTCCCTGATCACTAAGGAAGTTGAGCATGACCTTAAGTGTCTTTTGGCCATTTGAACTTCTTCTGTTGAGAATTCTCTGTTCAGCTCAATGCCCCATTTTATAATTGGGTTGATTA